GAGATACAATTTAAAGTTTGCAATTTTTTGTAGAAATTCGCCATATATTTTCTCGCCATTCTGTATAATAAGAAATGGATGGGGGATAACAGGTGACACGCAAATTTCTCTAAGGTAGCGTGCTGAGTAGTCTATGAGAAACGGGATGATATTTTAATCTACAATGCAATTACATATATAATAGTTGTGCATATATCTGCAGAACATCTGACAGGTAAGCCGGCTTTGTAGCGTAGGCAATATTCTTTAAAATTTATTACCGTTAAGATTAGAATTCGCATTGGGGTTAGAGTTAACAAAATAGTGATTCATTTAGAAAAACTTAATGTTAAAATACTAAATATAGTTTTTTTTTTGAAAAATAAACGACTTTATAGAGTTCCAATCCGGATAAATCCGGATAAATCCGTCATCCATTTATCCGTATCTGAATTAGTAATAATAATATCCTGATCCGTTGGGATTAGCGCTTATTCACATACCGATACGGTCAGGGTATTATTAATTACAGCTGTTCTCATAAATTCTGGAAAATCTGGCAAAAATTGACCGACCGAATATTTGCCGATTCGACAAGTTTTGATTTAGCAGTGATAAACTTTTGATTCGGATGCAATTACATCCCGGATCAAAAGTTTATCACTGCTGAATCAAAACTTATCGAATCGGCAAATATTCGGTCTGCCAGATTTTCCAGAATTTATGAGAACAGCTGTAATCCTCCCGTGACCTTGATATAGTGATCGGGGATTATCTGGATAATCCATATCGATCGATATCAAATAAACAGATCAGAATATCCGGATAATCCGACAGAATATCAATAGCGATAGTAAACGGATATCCGATAAATTTGGATAGGATACTTCGGATAACGGATTACGAATATCTAATGGATAAATGGATACATAGATAATGAATTGGAACACTACAACTTTGACAAAACAAACGTTGCTTTGAATCTTTCTGATCATGCTACGTTACATTTGCTTCTAAAAATTGATTTTTGTTTCAGGAATCTTTGCCACGAACTTGGTATATTATTTAATAGATTTTTTTCAATTGATACAATATGATAAAGTTCCATAATAACAATCGTGGATCCTGTTAATAATCACTGCATACAAGATTTATACTCGATGAGAACTATCTGTATATGAAAACCACAGAGACTTTTCACAGTCTTCATGTATAAATATTTTTATTAAAGACCAAAATATAAAACACACTAATTCGAGTCATTAACTGAAATCATAAACTCGCTGATCATTTTTTCATTATTGAAAATTGTTCTTTACTCAAATAAACCACTAAACACATGTCCTGAACATTATTCATCTTAATGACAAGCACGTTTGATCGGTTAAAAATACTTTCCGCTAATTTTAAATTTTAATTCCCGACACACTGGATCATTGATCGAGGCGATTGAGAATGTTTATAATCTACTTTAACTGCCATCACTTCAATCATACGTTATTGTTATTACAACATTTAATTCAAAATAAATCAAGTTACTAAATATTAAAATTACCAAATATGATTAACGATTAGTGATTCTTTATATCGGATCCGGTTCATTTCACCGAAAATCAATTCACCAACATTCAATTCACCGATAGTACGATTCATCGACAGTACGTTTCACTTTTCTATAAATTACACTAACCTTAACTCTAATTCTAGCCTGACCCTAACGACAATGACCAGAATTATTTTGTCGGTGAAATGACTGTCGGTGAATCGTACTATCGGTCAGTGAATTGAATGTCGGTGAATCGTACTATCGGTCAGTGAATTGAATGTCGGTGAATCGTACAGTTGGTGAATTTGTTTGCCGGTGAAATGAACGGAACCGTTTATATCAACCTCAAAAATTTCAAATTTTATAGCTTTTCAGTATAAAAAAACATTATCTCTTCAGTAAAACGAACTTTTGCAATATATTTTCGTTTTTTAAAACCTTTCACTTATTTAAAATAATAAATTAGGACCTTTGCTAACAAGATCACCCTTCAGGACTATGTAAATCATAGTCCCGAAGAAAGCAAAGACTCCAATTAATTTTTTTATGATATATAAATAAAGTAACTACTAAAAAACTTTTTAACCTTACACGGATAAAAAGTTATACCTAACCCGTGTCTAATAAACCTTCCGAAATTAACAATGAAGTACGGAGAACAATAAGTCATGTGCATCTCCGGTTCAGAAGCAGATTATCGTTATTGGAAATTTGTGCATACATATACTTTCAAGTGTAGATGAATTCGTAATTAATCTAATTTGTAGCGCCAATTCCTTATTTGATTAAGCTGTGCATATACAGTATATATGCATCATTTGAATACAACATAAACTTTTATTAGAGTTTAACCTTTCGTTTTGAATTCCTCGCTCGGTTGACGACTATAATATAATCGTTCGAAAATTGAAATAAGCATAATGAGTGGTTCAAGTACTACAACACTTTCAGTTCTTACCCTGAATTGCTGGTATTTCGGAGAAACTCCAATATTAGTTTTGTAGTCTATTCGCATTTTATCATTTTAAAATTGTGCATATATTTAGGGGTCTAAAGTTGGTTTCCAAGAAACGAAACCAGCGCATGGAAGCCATTGCCGATAGCCTGACACACTCAAATTATGACATTGTTTGTTTACAAGAAGTGTGGGTGTATGACAATTACGAATTAGTTAGGAACAGAACTAAAAAGCGTTTCCCCCATGCTAGGTTTACCCACAGGTAAAGTATAAATTTTTGTATCTAGTTCTTTGAGGTAAGAATTTATCAACAATGCAGATTTGCTTACATAATGGCAGGACTCGTAACCGAATTCATGTCAAAGTTATGACCAACATTAGCACATAACCTTTAATTATACAAAAACTATCAATCATGGTTTTAATTGAGCGAGTATCCAATTCATGTAAAGTTTCATAAGGGCCTTGTTCCCAAACAGATAACGGAATAACTGAATTCTTGTCGCGTCCAACAAGTGTAAATGTAGCTTCAACACCAAAATGATCGGAATAAGAGTATCCCAATTCTGGAATCCTTTCGGTAAAGACAACACGTGAACCACTGCACCAAAATCTCGATGTTTTACGGTAAAATATATAGTCGATACGAATACCAGCATCTCGATTAGGTGTAGCATGTTTGAGAAAACACTTAGACCATGTATTAATCGGAGAGTCACAAGTAATACCTTTTCGGTGGATGGCTGCGTTCGCATCGAATGCAGGTAAACCAGCTTCTTGTTGGTTAATTTGGTTAATGGAGGTGGTAGAGGCGCTAATCGGTGTACCGGAATTTTGAGATTGCCAAGAATCTGTC